TTCGGGTTTGTAACTAATTATCAGTCAATCACACTGTTTACATCGATTCAGTTGATCAATCTTACACCCACATAACAATACAAATTCTAATCTGTCACAATAACCATATTTCATTTGTTTAGGATTGTTCTGTAATAAGCTATTCAGTTCTCTGATGTATACAGTGGTTGTCTAATTGCTGTCTGGTCATGATATCCACCTGATTCTTAACTCGTCAATGTGATCGTATTAGCATTTACTCCTAACCTCAGTATTTTTATGGCAAGAGGTAGCCTAAATTAGTCATCGGACAATTTGTAATTTGACGGGTGCGTCCCAGGTTTTTTGATAAGAAACTATGCATGTAATAGTTGATTTCCAGAGATTCTACGTATGAACGTTTACAATATTCAGGCAAGACAATAAATACTACCTGCGATATAATTGATTAATGAAATTCACACAAAGCGTGAGCCCTAGTTATACGAGGAAATTAATTAAAATTCAAAGTCTTTCACATTTCAGCAATGATGACAAATAATGAGTTTTAATGTGAATTCATATCAAGAGGAGTATTTTATGAACAACCATAAAACAAATTATTCTCAATCAAAGTAGCTTTGTCATCATCCGTCAACCATTTCTAAACAACTGCTTGTTTATCAGAAACCTAATCATAACGAAATGCACACATTTCACCACAGACTGACAACACTGATCATAAGGAAATTTCACTATTCTAACATCAAATCCCAAATAAATTTCACCATTCAAAATGAACATTGTGGTTAAATTAATATTTTATTATCATTTATCAACATATTATGCAATTAACAATAATTAATGAATCTGAATACAGTTTAACATGACTGAATGTCATCTTATTTGCATTTGGAAGGACACGAACATCCACACGTACACCCCGAACATTGACATTGACCAGATGGACAATCACATCCTTTACCCGATGCACATCCAGAACAGCATTTACAGTTTCCACTACCACCACCACAACCTTCAGTTTAACAGAGAGAATATTTAGTTAATTACAATTAATTACAATTGTAATGAATAATTTCTGGACAATGTGAATAGATAATACCATACAACAACAATCTTACCTGGCATGATTATTCTTACTGAGATAGTTTAGTGCATAATTTGTCCGATGTATCGTTCGCTTATATACATTTTAATTTTCTATGCTTGATATGTGATAAACACATAGGAAAATGAACCAATAGAAATTGTGATACTTTTCACATAACATCACAGATGGTTTGAAATTATCAGAAGACTTGTGTTTAGACAGAAATTGTAGACTGGAAAATAATGACAAAAATTTGTTGTTTGTAGCGGAAGAGAAACTCATTATTTTATCAGAATTGCTTGACTGTAATTGTGAAACAGGGTTTGTGAAATTGTCATCATTCCTTTTTATAACTTTGCATTTAATTTTTATTGAAATTCATTATATGAATCACTGTGGTGTCTGCTCTAGCAATATTCCTATGGTTTGTGTACATAGGTTCGCGTTTGTTTCAGTTCACACAACACATGATGTCAGATTTGACTACACTATCTAGATCTAATAGCATGCAGATTTTCTTGATAATATTCAACGTAATGATTCAAATTCGAGAACACATTATTGACGATACTTTCTGAAGTTGTTATCAATATAACTTGTTAAGTGCTCGTCCTCACTATATTTGTGAATGAATTTCACTGAGTACAACGAATTTTCTAGTCGTCCGTATATGTCGGAAAATCCTTGAAGTTGTTATAAACCACATGGATCACTCTTTCTCCAGTTTAACTGTTCATACAGATTTGCATAATACTTAGTAAATGTCAATTTGGATAAGCCTGCCACAATAGTTGTATTGAAAACTCTGTTTAGAATAGATCAGGATGCTAGTAGAGGTAGTCGCGCAAAATACTAGATGCTCTCTGTCTGTATAATTTACTTTGAAACTTGCATTTGAAGAAATATCTGATAATCAGTGAGCAAGAAGCTTGTATAGGCCTCCTGAAAAAGAATAGATCCCGTTTCCGCTTCAGTTAACTCTGCTTCATGGATTTCATTTTACTTAGTAGCATTTTCGAAGTCTCTAGTTCAGGGAGAGTATAAATCAACTTGTGGCTTTTCAAGCAACTTATCAAAACAACACTTAAGACTCATAAAGTGCTTTTTAGAGAACTGCGAATCAATAATAAATATAACGAGATTGTTGTAAGGCACGGAACCATATTCCAAAGGCTTATTTATGTCGTATTGTAAAAACGGTAGTGGCATTGAATGGTAAGCCTTAAAGTTATGTTGTAGTGGGAATAGATAAGGAATGAAAAGCCGTTATATGGCATTTTCTGATATGTCACTCGTGTGCTTCGTAACTTCAATCTCTTTCACCACGGTAAATGAATGAAATACTCAGCTTTTAAAACATAAGTTGGAAATTTTTCCCTAATTCTCCAAAATTCAAAATACTCTCACTCGAATTACATAGATTCAACCAATGGGAGATGATATGGGAAATATTTGGCAATTTTCATTGGCCTACATTTCTATGTGTAGCTCACATATAATGCATACTTGTATATAAATAGATTACTCGAGTAGTTTCAAATCATCTAGTTGTGAAGTAGCAGGATTATGCCAGGTGAGTGTGTTTATAACCAGTGTACCTTTATATTAGTACGAAGATATTGTGATTACTACATTTACACACAATCCAAGTATTTTTATTCACCTTCCTTACAACTAATTCAAGGTTTCCGTTTATTTCAGGTTGTAACGGTCCGAATTGTTCTTGTTGCAATGGATGCAAAATGAAGACAGGTTGTGACTGTGCACCGAATGTTTGTAAATGTGGTGAGTGCAAATGTGGGTGCACATGTAAGCAAGGTTGCTAATCACAGGACAACTTCGAATGTTTCTCAGAATAAGTTAATCAATTCATTATGTAGTTCAAGCTGTTAGTAATAATTGAATCTACATATTATAACGCTTTCCTACTTTGATCAGTGGACTAGTTGTTTGTGAGTCGTTGTATCTGGGAGGTGATAACGAGTTATGATATTCGTAAAGCACAATTATTGACTTTATTCGTGTTCGCGTCGTCGAATGTGGTATATTATTATGTTTGCTTTGTGTCACTGTGTTTGCTACAATGTAACACTATTCGTGTTTTTCTTCACTAAGTTCCCAAACTAACTTAGTGGATCTTGTGTTTATATTCAGAACTTTTTCCTCATATTTTCCTATGTCACTGTTATTTTGATATTTCATTATTCACCTTTCAATACACTCTTCTGATTATGAACTATATCCAATTTCTGTGTAATGTTTTCCTTTGATGAAAATTAGTGAAACCCTTTTCCTACCGTCATCCATTACAATATATATTTATGCTGATTTGCAACTCTTTTGAGATCAAATAGTTCTGTACTCTGTAAGGAACAATCTACTTTCCTTTTTCGTCATCATGAATGCATCTGAATTTTCTGTATCGTACTCGTGACCTCCTAAAATAGAATTCGTAATATCTTATGTTAAAATGTTGTCACTACTTTAACATGACAATCAATATAACATACTTTGTGATTATTGCTGTTCCTTTTTTCTAGTGCTGAGAGCATCTGAATTTGAATATATGCAGCGTTAGGTAGCCAAATGACGAAGAGACTTTAGTCATCTCCAAAGTGATGCAACAAAGTTATTCTGATTTCATGAAAATAAGACATCGTCTGACTGTCCAAATTTTTATTCGGATTTCAGAACACTGATTATTTATGGGGAAACAGTTTTGTAATCCAATAAAAAATACTTAAGAAAAATGAAACTAAATCACATATAATAGTTATAATACATGTGTATCGTCCATTCGTTTGTTAGCATTAGTCATTGACGATGAATATCTGATTGTAAACCTTCTTCGCGAATCATCAACTATATGGAACTACTAAATTAACTTAGTGAAATTGTCGTGAACAAGAACACGAGTGGGACAGTCGAATATATTTGGATACAAAATTACAGAATATCTCACTAAAATATGAGAACCATGTAGCAAATAGTTAATTTGCAAACTATCAATCGATTTTCCCAATCTTGACTGTTCCTTAATGACCATTACATATTAAATCAGTGCTTGAGTTACATCATATTTTTACTCGGACTCAGTTATCACGCGATAGATTGCTACTGAAGTTGTGATTGTGAATCAATGAGAAGTCTATCATTTAGACGGATACGTTTTACAGTATTTCATTAGTTGATATTGAAAGTCATTGTCGATAAAAGATCAGATTATATCTTGTCAATTTCGTTTAAAGATATGTTATAACTAGTTAAAAATGAACTATTTCACTGTAAAATCGAAAAAAATTCGTAATAAATCATTAAAATGAAAGTGAGTATATAAAGTTTATCAATAGGATTTCATTAGTTTTTTCAACTATTCCAAAAATTGAATTTCACTTAGTATTGTTTGTTTGAATCTTCCCATTGATGTTTAGGACTGCAACTGGTCAGTCTCTTATTTGTATATGTTCATACTGTGCGTATTGCCTCGATATAGCCTTAATTCAAAAGCATTATAAGCAAAGATAGATAGTGGCTAGCAGTGGAATCCAGGACCCACGTTTCGTCCTATTTGCAACTCGTCAACCGGATGTACATGCATCTCAGAATTGATGTTCCATCTGCGACTCAAACCCAGTACCCTCGCTTCAAACGCGATGACGTTATCCACTCAGCCACTAAGTCCTGATAGCCACTTGCTTGTGCAATGAGGTGAAGTCTAAATTCACTTGGTATTGTTTGTTTGAATCTTCCCATCGATGTGTTAGGACTTCAACTGCCTAGCCTCTTATTAGCCATATGTTCATACTATGCGTATTGACTCAATATAACCTTAATTCAAAAAGCTTCATCTATTTTGAAATGTAAATCAATTTCTTTTTTTGTTATTACTAATAAATCATCTTTGATTTGTTTCATCACAATTTTAGGTGCTATGTATGATCGATTCAAGAATTTTAACTTAATCTTTATTCTTGGTGGATTATCTGTTTTAATATCAGGTCTACTTTGTTTTCCATTAGCTAAATTAGCTAAATGGGAAAATCGTAAATCTTATCAATCTAATGAAAATGAAATGAATTATGAAAAAACTACAGATCAAAGTTTATATCCTATAAAATTATTAAGACGTATACGTGATTGGTTTAATAAACATTTTCATTGTTCTAAAACATCAAATGATATTTATTAATTTAATTTTCATTATATAATTACTTTATATATATATTGATTAAATTGTAATTAATAACAAGTGTATTTTTATTATTGTTGTTGTTTACTTATATGAATAATAAACAAGTAAACAAAAGAAATCATGATTCTTTTTTTCCGATTTCTGCCTTTACTACTTAATACTCTTAATTCAGTAGTAAATTGAGTATATGATCATAAAACCTTTTAAACATTTGATTATTTGTTTTTAAGATGTTACAACTCAATTCATTGTTTGTTTGTCTTTACTGAATGATTAAAAAATAAATTAAACACTTTCTAATCACTGTAACTTAAAGCATTTAATTATGCACAAAAGAACTGGTCTCCTCACTCTCATTACTTCTCTTCTCTTTATGGTGATGTTGAAAAATATAAATAAAACATTCATTAAAATTTGTGCAATTATTTGTTATTCTATTTCATAAATGCCAAATTACGTAGTAGAACACGCGTATATATATACGTTGAATCCTGGTCGTTTTTGTTCCCTTGAAATTTACTTCTGTTCCGTTCTTAGAATAAAAATCAATACCTCGAGAACAAACAACTACAAATATAGAATATTCCGTGGGGTTTTTTATATTATAAATGTAATTAATGAACAGTTAGTTATAATCATTATAAAATCGGATAAAAATGTCCATTAGCCTAAATGTTAACGTAAATAGATTAACACAACGAAATACAATTAATTAGATAAATAGTAAACAAATCAAAATTATTGTAGTAATAATAATGGTCTAAAAGACTAAATAGTGATAATATGATTCGTAAATGAGCCATAGTATTTAATGATAGTAGCACATTTAAATGATTATGTAATCATCAGAGAAATGCTATACATATAATACATTTTGTTAACTGTTCTGTAGTAAATGAATCCGACCTTTTACAGTGTACTGATTTACATTTACATATACGAGATAGAAATGCGGTAGAATCAAATTCTTCAATAATTAGTAAATAAACTGTAAATTGCATACAGACTCTGATATAATAAAAATATTTCTGAAACTAAGGAGAACACGAGAACCGAAATTGTTCAAAAAGATCATTAACTCAGAATTTAAGGGAAAAAACACACATAAAACTTCAAGACAATTGTTTCGGATACAGAATATGTATCAGAAGTATATTGAAGCATACAGATGAGTGAGAATTTTGATTAATCCGATTCAAGACAAACATTTATAAACGATGTGAAAAAACTGATGCTTCCTAATATGCGTTCAAATGAAAAAAAGAACACTTCAGTATTGATTTCAGTATAATCTTATGTATGAAAGCAATATGAAATCTATAAGTTTCAATATGACACCACTCTCTTACTTCAATTAGGCCTCAAATTAAGCTAAACAACCAAAGTGTTTAGGATTTCAAAGTTTCTATTATCCAAACATCACGCGTTAACACGAATTTAATTGACTCAATAACATTTTGTTACTTAAGTAGTATAACTAGTAAAACAAAATTTTCTTAATTAGTCTTTCAGTCCAAACTATCCTACTACAATATTGTACGAGACATTTTTGAGTTCTTCTTATATTTTGTTTCCTGTAAAAATACCATACTCAATAATTGTTCACAGGACATCGATTTAACTGTTAACGTACAAGCTTTTTAAGGCATTGTATTGGAAAACTGGATCATATAACCTAGTGATAGTGAGTTCGGTTCTTCTTGGGTTCGTGAATTCTTAGTGTTCAGGAGTCCCATACTAGGGTGAAACATTTTCCTGATACTCACAAACCATCAGTGGCATTATACTGAGATCCAACCATAACGAAGTCTATTTGTCGGTTAAAGTAATTACCGAAACCACTTTATCCAAACTATTCAGTCATATTTAGTTCAAAGATTAAAGTGATAAAATCTTTAATTTGTTGGGATAGTTTTCTACATATAAAACTGAATTTATATTAAAGTTCTGTGTAAGTCATATATAATTCAGATATCATTGTTCACTAAAAATTCATTCTTATACACTGATAGATTTTATGACTATGAAATTAAAGTAATCCATCGTCTTGATACTTCCATTAAAATTAGAAGCCGGAGTTCACAATCACTTCTAACATCAAAATGTTATTCAACTCATCCGCTGATTTACGGTTGAATCCAAACTCATAAATGCATATTCACTGCTTCTGAATAATAGATTATCTAGTAGTGATTGATGTCTTTTTTATCTAGCCCTTTAAATATTGATCGATTTCCATCTATCAAATTCCAATGTGACCACTAAATTAAAGTGACTCGATACCGCATGTACTATGCTAAGATATTGGGTGTTTGGGAGTAGTCGACTGGAAACTCTGGACCTACGTTACATGTAAATGTTTCAGTCTTCTTGAAGGTCAGTAGTTATCCGAATAGTTAGATGGTTGAGTCCCAGACTGTGAAGTTAGGTGACATAAAGTCGAACGAGCTAGTTCCCACAAGTTTTCAGGTACATTTTAATGACGAGTGACGACTAGAAAAAAACTTAGATCCAGGGCTTTCTGTCGACTACCTCCAACCATCTAAAATTCCAACATATATTGATTACACTCTATTTAATTCTTATAATTTAATGTTTTCTTTGCAAAATTATAGATTTTCTTGGTAAATCCATATCTTCGAGGAGAAAGTCGTAAAAGGCTGGTAGCTAAAAAACGAGTTAAACGTACACATGTATGTTATAATTTAGTGTTTAAATTTAGACTTTAGTTCGAATAATTGTTAGGTTGATATACATATTTATGAAAGAAACTCATGTTATATCACTTATGCATTAAGTCAGCGACTTGGAATCGAACTCAGTAAATAATGTTACATAATTGTGGTAAATATATTTTATTAGCACGAAAACCTAAATCATATTTCTGATAATAAAATTCAATTAAAATGTAATATGTATCAGGCTATTTAATTTACTCAGTAAAACAAAGAACTGACCGTCGAAAAACTATATTTGATACCAGAATCATTGTGCTATTTTGATCAGTCTATAGTTCACCAGACTATTATCACTGACTGTCACTTACTATGATTCTTAATGTATGTAGAGTTGAATAAGACTAAAATTAAATCATCATGAGGATAGTTGATTTGCACATTTCACATGGCTGACTTCCATCATGTTTGTACTGACAATTTATGATAGAACAACGTAAGTACACTCTGGGAATATCTGTTAATATGTGTAATTTATGTTACTGAAATATTTGTTAACTCTAAGGTAAGTCATAGCAAACCTGAGAGTTATGATAAATAGTCATAATATAAATAATTAGGTTTTCAAGTTAGACATTTTTTACTCCATACGAAATTAATGATGTTACAAATTAACAGAGAATTTCTAAACAGAATGATTTAGTTTAAACTGATATAGTGAAGATTCAATTTATTATAAGTAGATTTCAGTAGTTTATGATTTGGGGTAATGCTAGCATGATTCATAGATTTCTGTATTCAGCACAAACTAAAATGCATGGAAAGATCGGAAAACGTGTTTATTATCCTAGTGATTTGTGCTACTCTGGCAAAAGGCAACATAAGATTTTGTATAAGAAACCAAGTAAGTTATTTTCTAACAACTGAAAACATTTTGCAGAATATGTAATAATTTACCGTCAGTCTGATTTCCTGAGATATGATTCAATATTCACAGATAATAAGATAAGCGAAACGTTTTCCTGACAAAAACCCTGGCAATCAATATAATCACATATTTGTGAGATTTGATTCTCCCTCCAAAAAAAGAGTTCATATAAGTGAGCTAATTATTGATCTAGAAAGATGATAAAATTTAGTAATCAGTCATTAGGCTGTTTACAAACGTATTACTGAATGGTTAACTATAACTGATCGAATTATATTCATCTAGATTAAAAACGAATCTCGTTATACAAAATCACAAAGTATAGAATGTGATCAGATAAAATGTTATTATCAGTATGTGGTTGTGGAGATTGTTAAGTTTTTGATCGATGTTCGACAACATTCGAAAATCTGGAAGCACTTGACGGCCGTTTCTTCCTAGTATGGGGCTCCTCAACAGTGCGCACCCACGATCCCGCTTGCGGGACTCGAACTTAGGACCTTCGGTCTGGCGCTCGAACCCTTAGCCTCCAGACCACTGAGCCGGCATCTAACGGTGGAAATGTCTAACCTCAACCAATCCACGACATTGCGTGACCATCTAGTGCTTCAAGGTTTGCAATGGTAGTCTAACATCAATTGATTCATGATTTCAATCAAAAACATGTATTTAATCATTTGAAATAATATGAATTTCAGTATCGGGTATCTTAGTTGTATACTTGTAATACACAGATAATAGATATTATAACTTGTATCAAAAGTTTCTTTCATGTGGTTTCTTTTTTCATCTTTTATTATCTTTTTTTCAGATTCCTCGTTACAATCCTTATTTATTGGGTAGTATTCATAAAACTGCAGTGAAAAAAATTGGTCCATATAAACCATCACAAGAGAAATATATGTAATAAAATTAATATAATTATAATTTGGATCATTGTAATAAATTATACTTTAAGTTCAATATAGTAAACGATACAATTTGACATTCATAATAAATTGAATGTTTTTTTCTAAAAGTTTTTCGTCTTTTTTCTTCTTCTTCTTCTTCAAAATATGCTAATTCAAGTTATAAGTCGCTAGGTATATGGTTTTCTTGATTATGTTACGTTGGATTGATGAGACTGTAAGATGATCGTTTATACTGAATCAATGATTTTTAGATCTTTGTTATATAGGATTATCATTATATAATTTAAGCTATATATGTTAGAAACTTAGTTTATTTTCAATTAGATAACTTAGAGTAAATGAACTTTATACGTGGAAGTATGAATCTAAATGATTCAATATACAAGATGCATATATAAATCACATTTTTTGATGGAGCATAAAACCTGTGATTATACATAGAAAGAAATTTTAAGCTTCAATTATCTTAAATATGTTAAATTG